TTATTTTTATTTTATTTTTTTGCCCAACCGGACAAGCGGTCACGGACCACTTTGGTAACCTAACTTACTCACTTATTGTTCTGCTTTTTCTTTTTTTTCTCCTTTTCTTACCTTTTATTATTGTTTTTTAAGTGTGGGGTAGGTGATGATTAAAAAAAATAAAGTTCATTAGAAAAAATGCATGGTGATATCAAAATAGAGGCATTAGATTTTTGCATGGTTGCAAGTAACACAGATTGAGGCTGGGAGAGGCAGCTGCCCATGTCAATCCTGGAGACACAAAACAGTTGCGGAATATACCAACGAGAGATTTTGTTTTCCATACACTAAGGATGAACCTTGAAGCGAGGTCTCGAAAACAAACAATTACTCAGGTCTAACACTTTAGACATGAAATAGTTGCGGGAAGAATCCAAAGAGAGATACGAAATGAACCAAGGATACATTCATATTTTTACGAATTCATGACCAAGTTGAACCCTGAAGCGGAGGTCCCAAAATGCAAAAGTAGCTACTGAGGTTCAACCTTGAGACACGAAATGGTTGCAGGAATATTCCGAAGACAAATTCAGAACTTATACTAATCAACTCTGAGTGAAGCTATCAGAGTGAGGAAAAAACAGCTAAGTAGGTTAAACCTAAAGGCACGAAAACGCTGCAGGATTGTGCCAAAGGAGATTCAAGTTTTCTATAAATTTAACATCAACCTTGAAGCGGATGTCTCAGAATACAAAGCAACTACTCAGGTTCAACCCTATGATACAAAACATGCAGGAATAATCCAAAGAGAGATCCAGGTTTTATTATACTCATGACCAACCCTTAGGGGGGATGACAAAATGCAGAAACGACTACATTAGTTCATCATTGAGACGTGAAGACCGTTGCATGAGATTCCAAAGTGATGTCAAAGTTCTTCAAACTCATGACCAACACTGGAGTGGGAATAATAGAATCCAACTAAAAGTAGCAGATATTGCTAAGGGTCAAATCCAGATAAATCGTTAAAGTTGAACCGAACATAGTAACGAGTACTTTAATTATGAGTAACCTTGAGTTAGAAAAATATTGCATCGAAAAGATCAAATCTCGTTTTTCTGGTTTAACATCTTAGATTATTCAAAAGTGTAGTACAAGAAGCAAATAACATCTTAGATTATTCATATCCTAAGCTTGAAGTATATATGGCAACGGTAAACAGAGACTATGACGGTTTAAAGATGGAAGTCTGTTCTAGCGTTAATCTTATACAATGGGTGAAAATAATTAATGGGGTTTAGTTGTTACAAAGATGCAGTATAGAGAGGAACCTTACGGACGCGGTCATCGTGGCTAAGGAAAATGGTATGTTCAAAAAATTTATATGATTAAAATCGAAGCATTCAAAGGGTTATATGACTTTGTGATTTTTTATTTTTAATTTTTTGATAACGTTCGAGGGTTACTGTTCGATTTAAATCACAAAACGTTTTTATCCATTCTTGCAAGCTTTCATTTTTTTCTTCTACTTATATTTCTCATCCCATTTTTACTAACATTTGTTGTTTTTTTTAATAACTGCAAATAATCCGACAAGCCACATCAAACAACTATTGCGGTAGCATACCCTTATCGTAAGGAAACAGTTCATGACTAGCTTGGATTCCGGAAAACATAGGTACTCGCAGGGTACTAGTATACATGCTTAGTTCAATACTAACGTGGGAGACCAAACACATGATACTTCTAAACTAAAAAATCAAAACTATTTAAACTAGGTAAATTGGCGTTTTTTACCGAAACGTAAAGCCTCACTTTGCAAAGGTTGACTAGAAACCAGGAAAATAAGATATGTAGAAAACAATATACGTAAAGTTGCGTAATAATTATGATACTGAAAAGACTGAAAACTGAATTATGAACGATTGAGTGATTAAAGGCTAAAGTCAGGGTTATAACCGTTCTACGATAGCATGTGTTACTTTCAATAACCTAGAATGATTCATGCTTAACCTTAGGGTGTTTGGTTTCAGAAGATAATCGACTTTTAAGGTTGAGTTCAGACAAGGAGGATAGGGTTAACATATGCAAAGGTGGAGACCAGAGAAAAGAGGGTTAGAAAATGAGAGCTTGAAAACTCACGACTTGTTCAACTAACTGGTAAGGGTCAAATTTATTATTATTATTATTATTATTATTATTATTATTATTTAATTTTTACATAGTCAGTTGTGGACATCCAAAATGGGCAGGGGTGGGGGTAAAGAGAGGAGGGGGTGTAAAGAGAGGTGTTTTCCTTATCTATATACACACGGTTGAGAGTAAGGGGAATCTTGTTCTTCTTCTCTCTCCTTTTTTTTTTTTTTTTTTCTGGTTTTGATTCTTAAATATAAGGTACAAATACTTACGATTGCGTTCAATGGACGGTTTGCATGTAAGTAGCAAGTGACAAAGAGGGGGAAAGGTGAGGGAATAACGTATGGGTGGGTTGTCATGGCGAGGGAGTGAGTTGATTAAGTGTTGGGAACTTAGTTGGGTCTTGAAATGATGAGAGGGATGAAGCAGGCAGTGTTAGCGTGGCTTAGTGGAGTTGTGTCGTAGAATGAAGGAGGGGAGCAAAGTGAGTTGTGAAGAAGAATGATTTGTTAGGGTGTTAGTAGCTTAGATTGGAATCCTAGATTACGAAAGATATATCAGTCTACAAGGAGAGATCAACCATTTGACTCACAGAGGGAGTGGGTTGATTAAAGTGTTGGAAACTTAGTTGTGACGTGAAATGATAAGATGGATGAAACAAGTAGTGGTAGCGTGGTTTAGTGGAGCTGCGTCAGAGAATGAAAGAGGGGAGCAAAGTGAGTCATGAACAAGAATGATATGAAGGGGCGTTAGTAACTAAATTGGAATCCTAGAAAGATCGATCAATAGACAAGGAGAGATCAACCATTCATCTCACGGAGGAAGGGAGTTGATTAACGTGTTGGAAACTTAGCTGGGACGTGAAATGATGAGAGGGATGAAACAGACAGTGGTGGTGTGGTTTAGTGGAGTTGTGCCGTAGAATGAAATAGGGAAGCAAAGCGAGTCGTGAAGAAGTAATGATCTGCAGGGTCGCTTGTAGCTAGATTGGAATCCTAGATTAAGAAGGATCAATTTGGTCAGTAGACAAGAAAAGATGCTAAAAAAACTTCAAAAATAAGTTGGGGAAGAGAAGTTGATGACGAGCTAGAACCATTATTGAGAAAACAGGTTCAGTTAATACTGAAGTAGGTAAGATGGTATGCGTATGATTGAAAGAAGGGAGATTGTGATACATTTTAACCCTCGAGGGTCCTCTTCTTCTGATAGCATTTCCAAGCCTCTCTCTGACATTTGCAAGGAGCGGCGCCTTCGATCTGAAGACCGTTCCAAAGACTATGAAAGGGACATTCCTCTCCACAGTAGATAAGGAGGCAGCAATTGCTGCAATATCTTTCCATGAGGTCGTAAAAGTTGCCCCATGAGCTGTTGTATGCCATAGCTTGGTGCTGACTCCGACTCTATAACGTGGGGAACAGTACTCGCAGAGATCGGGAGTTGAAGTTGAGGGAAGACTCTTGTTGAGGTTGGCAGTCAGACATAGCGGCTAAGCTTAGAGGGGTCACGTTGAGAGGCCAGACCGAAAGAAGAGGAAGAAAGCTTCTCTTCGAATCTATTGGTTGACATTAGATAGAGGGGTTAAGTGGCGACAAAGATGCTCTCAGTTGACGAAGCCGATAGTTAGGTAGGTCCGAGTCAACTAGTCGGTAGCTGGGTAAATTATTGAGGGTGAGAAAACTGCGTTGCCCCTTCTTCTTGGAAGATCAGGTGCTGAAGCCCGGTTTAGTGAAAGGAGAAGACCGGCGGTCAAGATTCTGAACTGCGAAGCATAATGCTACAACTTAAATCAATGAGTAAGACCTTTAGGGCCAACCTATCTCTGCGATTACCGAGTCGATGACGGGTGAGTAGTCGCAGATAGCTGGTGGTGGTAGGGTACCAACGGAGGATAAGTCATTAAAAGATCGGTTGCTTCCGAGGTCTTAGTTGGAAGTAATCTAAAAAGGGAATTCCTAATTTGCTGAAGTAAGCACTAGGGAGAATGACCTAGAGCACTAGGGAGAATGAACGATAAAGCTACTTGGCAATGGTAGATAACAGGGCATTGTATACTTACCTTTCAGGCAGATAGTGCCAGAGGATTTACCACGACTGGAGAGATCGGAGATTGCTGATACGATGGTTCGTCTTGCGGTGCAGGTACCAGGAACAGAGTGCCGCTGAGCGCGCCACGTGAAAATCCGCCAAAAGACAAAAGCCACCGACGGGAAGCACCGGGCCAATAAATAGTAAAGCGCTGCCAAGTCTCGGAAAGCGGGGGCAGGGCCAAAAATAGCCCGGCTGTAATGAGCCTTCCCCAAGAGGACACTGCTGGCCCAACCCTCTTTGGATGCAGCTGCTTGTTACCGGGTCCTTTTCAAATGACGGAATGGAAGGCTTAGAAAGCCCCTCCAGGTCATTCATTGGCCTCAAGTATGCCTTCTGCTGGGCTCCGAGGCTGCTGCTGCAATCTTTCTTCTGCTGCTGGACGAACTTCCTGTCCAGATACAAGGCCCATTTCCAAAGCTGCTGGCCAGCTGGCTAAAGAGCCAAAGAGCCTGAGTAAGTGGCAGCGTGAATGCTGGTACCAAATGCTGGTACATCTCCCCCATGATCCAGGTTCCCAATCATGACATGCCAATCCTGGTCTCTGGGTGTTCCTTGAAGGGAGGACTCCGCGTGGGCACCTGATCCCTCGTCCATTGGTGAGCGGGGAACCTCGCCTTCCCTTTTTTTTATTTTTATTTCTTATATCCCCTAACACTCTGCCGGCTCCCAGGCCATCAAGGCTGGCGTGCCCGGAAAACGAATAAAGATTCCCTCGCCCGCCTTGATTTCCCAACCAAGCAGCTCGCCAGCGACGAGGTCGGGCATTGGAGGTCTGTGCGTCTTCAAAAGCACAGCTCTCGCGAGGTGGTGGTTGGTCTACGTGGCGTTGATTGATCGTGAGGAGGTCAAGCAAGCAAGCAGAGCGAAGCGAAGCGAAGATGGCGGTCAAGATCGGCATCAATGGGTTCGGCCGCATTGGAAGGTTGGTCCTGAGGGCTTCCCTCAACCACCCTAACGTGCAGGTGGTGGCTGTGAACGACCCTTTCCTTGATCCCGAGTACATCGTCTACCTCTTCAAGTACGACACCGTGCACGGCAAGTACAAGGGCGAGGTCGGTCTGTCCGCCGACAAGAAGCTGGTCGTGGATGGCAAGGAGATCGCCATTTTCGCTCTGAGGGATCCTTCCGCGATTCCGTGGGGAGAGGCAGGTGCGGATTACGTGGTCGAGTCCACCGGTGTGTTCACGGACAAGGACAAGGCGGCTGCCCATCTGAAAGGCGGTGCGAAGAAGGTGGTCATCTCTGCTCCCTCGGGCAACGCGCCAATGTTTGTGATGGGCGTGAACGAGGAGAAATACACGCCGGATCTGGACGTGATCTCGAACGCGAGCTGCACGACCAACTGCTTGGCGCCTCTTGCCAAGGTCATCAACGACAACTTCGGCATCGTGGAGGGACTGATGACCACCGTGCACGCCGTGACGGCCACGCAGAAGACGGTGGACGGGCCATCTGGCAAGGATTGGAGGGGCGGGCGTGGGGCTGGATTCAACATCATTCCCAGCGGAACGGGCGCCGCCAAAGCTGTGGGCAAAGTCCTTCCTGAGCTCAACGGCAAGCTGACGGGCATGGCCTTCCGTATCCCGACGGCCGATGTGTCTGTGGTGGATCTGACGGTGAGGCTGGAGAAGAGTGCCAGCTACGACGAAATCAAGGCTGTGATCAAGAAGGCCTCCGAGACCGATCTGAAGGGCATCTTGGGGTACACGGAGGACGATGTGGTGTCGTCGGATTTCATCGGTGATGCTCGGTCGAGCATCTTCGACGCCAAGGCGGGTATTGCCCTGAACGGGAACTTCGTGAAGCTGGTGTCCTGGTACGACAACGAGTGGGGTTACTCCAACCGTGTGGTGGAGTTGATTGAGCATATCTCCAAAGCTTAAATCAATGTGTGTGTGATGTGTGTGTGTGTGTGTGTGTGTGTGTGTGTGTGTGTGTGATGTGTGTTGTGTTCGTAGGTTGGTAGTAGCTAATTAGTTGAGATCAGTCATTGTGAGGGTAATCATTTTGTTTTTCTCTCGTTATTTCTGATTGGCCGAATCATAACGAGACGATGTGTTGCCTTGTGCGTTGTTTTCCATCGAAGGGGTGGCTGTATGGTGATCTGGAATAATGAGATGATGTGTCTCCGTTGTAATTGGAGATCGGGCGCCCTCATTGTGACTGTATTTCGACATTAATCGAGTGTTCCCGCCCCCTCCCCCCTCCCCCCCCCCCCCCCCCCCCGGGTTCCATCTGGATCCGAACTCAGGTTTGTTTTCTTTGTGTTTATCTATCTAGCTCGATCTGGATTCGACCTCAATTGTGTTTTTCAACAGTTCAGAGTAAAAGAAAAACGTTTTAACGTCTGGTTCTGGCAGCTCGACCGAATGCTTTGGCATTGTAAGTTGAGATTGGACGCCCTCAAGGCGATTATGATGCTTCGACAGAAAATGAGTGTTTCTGTTTTTCTATTTTCTTTTCATTTATGTAGATCCATCTGGATTTGAACTTAGCTCGGATTTTTTTTTTATTCTCTTTTTCTTTTTTCTCTGTTTTGTTCTTTTCTTTGAATGTAGACTATATTTTTCTCTCATCTATTTCATTTTTTTTAGTACATTCTGAACTGTTGCCTTTTTAGGAAACTCGTGTGACTAGGGACGAAAAACAACGAAAGCAATGCAGCAAGCTCATGATTCGTATTCCCACTTAATCCCACTGACCCAATTCTTTTCATATATAATTCTGACCATGAATGACGAAGATCAACGGCCAGAAACGAAGAAACCGGCGAACTGGCACTTGGCCTCGAATTTAAGGGCTTCTTAGGGCCAGATCCCACTAGCCCCGGTTGTTCATTTTTGACCGTTGATCTTCGTAATCGAGGGTGAAGAATGAATGATCCAGGGTAGTCGGATCTGACCCTTACTCAAATGAGGACCTCAAAATTGAAGAATCGAGATATTATCATCGTCGAGATCTTTTGTCCTTCTTAAACGAGGACTCAATCTGGACGTTGAGTTTGCGATTCTGAGATGTTGAGGCCGTACTACGTCCTTCCCCCGAATACAGCGGACGGTCAGAATAGCTGTATTTGGAGAACTTTTCAGTCTAAATTCAGCTGTCAAGACCATGTGTTATATTTGGGGGAAGAAGGTAGTGTGAGTATCCTTGTAACTGCTTTGCTGCTGTTGCGTTCTGTATATGAATTTGACCCCAAACAGGAGAAAACAAATTAAAAATAAAAAAGGGCAAAACAGGAGAGGGAAGAAAAGGGAACGGGAAGTGTGACGATTGTCTATCATTCCTGCTTCCATGTTCTCCGATGCGGAGACGATTTTTATTTTTTTTTAATTGTGTTCGGTGGTCGTCGAAATATATAATCTGAAAAAAATAAAAACAAAAAAAAGAGAAAGTGGTAGTTCGAGGATGGATGGGGGAAGGGCTGACAGACAAATATCAGGTAGCGTTGTATATCAGATTTTGTGTGTGTTTTCTTTCTTTTGTAGTATTGAGCCTATAGAGCAACCCCTCCGCCTTCAACCCCCCTTCTTCAATCCCCCTCCTTCAATCCCCCC